TTCCTAATTTTGATTCAGGTGAGGATGAGTAGTCACGGAAACACGCACAGAATAGGCGCACCTGAATCAAAATTAGGAATGAATACACACACCGTCCGGTCGGTAAAGAATGCGAGGCGAGATATGACGGGACGGGAATTAATGAACAGATGGAGCACAAACTGGTGTGCAGAATGTAACGGATATGGAGATGGGGCGGGAGTGATACAAAATAAGAACGCTGTGAAATAGCATGTCGAATTGAACTCGAGTGACGACGTGTCTCAACAACCGGGGAAGCGAGCCTGGGAGGACTTCTTCCTCCTGACAAATCTAAAGATGTTTTAAGAAATATAACAAGCTATCTAGCAATAGAGTGCAATTGGGAGATTGAATCTGAAGAGAAGTCAACCGAATTGGTTGTTTGAAGCGCATATAGTTCATAACCAATAAGAATTTACACGCGCGCGCAAAAACGACATGTACATGTGATAATTGCTACACTGTCGTCACGTAATGCATACACCGCCAACATTACATGTGAGACGGATGTTCGGCCAGACAGTTGATAAACTCATTTGCGGCCAACTGGCGGGTGCAAATTCGATGAACTGCCGTGAAAAGCGGATATCGATCGGTTAGTTTCATTCGTTCCAGCATGGCGAACACCTCACTCGCGGTGAGAGGACCTTGGGCGCTTTGTCCATCCAACTGCTCACGTTCTAGCTCCTGTATTGATTTGTTGGATTTCGCCAATGCGATACCCATGCGTTTGTTTCGGCCTCCGTAACAAGTGGTGATCAGATCGGCTACACCACAACTTTCCAGAAATGTGCCTTCTTGAGGATCTGGAGTCATGAACAAGAAATACATATAACATAAGTGATCGGAGCGGGGCGAACTGAATGAGTGAATATTACATCATCACAGATGAGGCACACAGCAAAGCAGATTCACTATGCTGCATCATATTCACGACAGCTATCAGAAAGTGACATGAAGAACTGCATATGTGATTCACGTGGACACGGTTGAATAAACCACAACCACGGAGGACACACATGTATGGAACCAAGTATGCGGGGAGGGGGAATCATGGTTTAGAGGATACGTTTTGAAATGAGGAATTCATACAACAATTTGAGTTTGGTGAAACAAAATTAGCTTGAATACCACTAGCCAACCGCATACACTAAGATCCCGACATACGCCGTCAATAATCGCAAACCTGTTTTTTGTTTCTGTTCTACTTGGACAACGCTTTTCGTCTATTTGATCTTTGGGCGAAATGAAAATTGATTACCTAATGACATACAACCCAACTCCATTCAAAACAGGAGGTATGAAAATGCAAAAAATGGAAGTGAAGGAACCTGGAATGAAGCATCAATTTAGCAATGTCTGTCGGGAATCAAAGGAGTATAGGAGAATCCTGCAATTCAAGTAACGACTCAGGCTCACAGTTAAATTGGAGAACCAACCTACCAAAACAAGTAGTTTAGTGAGGACACGATAAAAGTCAAATGACTGTAACACGAAGAATCAACATCGAGAACATTTTAAATCTATATATTCGTTCGAAAGCATGATAGCAATGATTGTTTTCTGCCGTCAACTTCCCCAAGACCCATTGTCTTTCTTTCTGAATAATCTTATTTCGTATTATGTACAGAGCGATGTGCATAAGACAAGGGATTTATGAAATGCCTCTCGTTATGCGGTATATCAATGAATTCACAGAGAAAAAAACCATGCTCCACAACGAGAACTCACCTCGATCACCGAAGAACTGATAGATAAATGCTTTCATCTCCATGAAACCCAACCGGATCACAGCTGCTTTGGTGTTATCACCGTAGCCCAGGCCTTCAATGATACCAGCACCGACAGCGACAATATTTTTCAAAGCGCCGCATAATTCTGCTCCTACTTCGTCCTTAATGATAGTCATTCGGAAGTAGTTGGTCTGTCATCATGGATAAAAACGAGACATGTGATAACTTTTTGTAATTCATTCATTTTATGGCACACATGTAACCGACATTCAGAAACGAAATCGTGACCAGTAAAAGACTTCGGACCACCAAACCCATCTCAGTTTACCCTGATTCGGACCGATCGCAAACTCGAAGCTAACACGACCCAACCTTTTCCCAAATGTTACTGGAACAGCAAGTCACAACTGACCAATAAATAAAATAGAAAAACACAAACCTGGAACAAAAGTTTCAACTCGCGTCCGATCGACAAATCCTTCGCCCCAATGGTGGCCTCACAGTAGTTTTCTTGAGAAACCTCAGTAGCGAGATTTGCACCCATAATCACAGCACAAGGGATTTGTAGCTCTTCTCGAATCAGATCGGTCAGTAGACGAATTCCCTGTTCATTGCTCAAAGCTAAACCCTGTAGGAAGCAAAGTGGGAATGAACGTCAGAATGAGTCAGAAAATAGCCCAGAAACTGAATAACTCCTAAATGTTAATTCGAGTACAAAAACTCTTCTCAAAATTGGATGTCTGAATCTAGAAAACGGTAAATACACGGTTAATCTACGGTCACTTGTACACAGTAGTGTGGGATGTTCTAATGATTGTGACTGACCATTGAAAAGATTTATTTTCACGCATAATACTCTTTTCATCATACACCCGAAAAACAATAAACTTGATGTTTGCTCTCACTAAAGCTCGTACGTCAATGATGGTAATATAGTAAAAAAAAAGTAAGCAAGCATACGATTTCGACACCCCATTACAAAACCAAGCTTTGCAACATCGATAATTGTAGAAAATAGTGTTTTACCATTCGTTGACCTCAGGATATTCCGACACTTATTGATCCGTCTCATGTACAGCAGTACGGCTAGTTTGTGCGTCGAGACTAAAGAGTTTTGACTAAGGGGTTGTGGATCAAGGTAAAGCATTGCGGTACTTGGCTAAAGGATTACGGGTCGTGGTCAAGGTTTGACGGGAAAAGGTGCAGTTTGGAAGGTTATCAGACGGGTAATAAACCCCAGATAACTGAACATGATTCAGTGATTCATCTTGTTTGATACCCTGGGTTTCGTTTATATGGTAACCACAACAGCCCATTTTCAACCTTCCTGTCTTTCGCCTACTGTTCATCCAAATGAACAGCCAAAAGACTGCAACCAAAACCAGCGCACGAAAGTGCATGATTAATGATTGAACAAACTGCAACTGAAATCACAACAGCATTCAAACACACATCGATATGATGGACAACAGCGAACATTTACTTCGATTATTTCGTAAAAAACAAGAAAGCAGTATTGGAAAATTAACGAGCGACTGAGCTACCGAACATACTGATCGCATGAACACCTGGAAAGAAACTGAACCGATTCCCATGAACAATGTCACTGTCATGTATATTAAGCAGCCGAAAGTTGCTGCGTGTGTTAGCGTTAGCAACCTCTACAATCTTAGAATTCACAAGCAGCCCGCCGTTATTACTACCTAATGCCAATACGTTTGCGTCCGTATTCGGAAGTAAACAATCATGGTGATCTCACAGAATCAAGGCAAAGCGTGTACTATTGATCGATGACATATTCATTGGCCTGACGATGAATTAAGAGCAAAACAAACTAAATAGCAAATAAACCTACGCAAATCAACGATTTCGAAGATGTGGGCTACGTGATTATTTGCACAAATGTAGTGAATAAGGCAGTGACTTTCTCGCGCCATTATGACCAAAAGTGCATTGACCAGTTAGTCCACAGTTTTCACCGTTCATGAAGCACAGTCTGTGTTTGTCAGTGAATATTGCTTATTATTGTTGATCATTCGCTGGCGCTATCGATCAATTAAAACAATTCACTGGAGTTGGTGCGATTTGAGCGGACACGCTGGTCGAGTACAGATGAATTGGGCTCGCCGCGCACTGGGCATTCCCGGAACCTTCGAGAACGACTCAAGTTATTTACACGAAAAAAACCAAAAACATCACAACTGGCACGAAGCACCACACGTATGTGAAAACAACGCTCCTTACCTTGATCAATGATACACCATATGCACCTGGCTTAAGCACAGGTTTGATCTGTAGACAGGTTTTATGCAGGAACTGATGAGGCATAACGAATATCAGCACATCCGCATCTTTAGCAGCTTCGCACACGTCAGGGGTAGCGACCACATTGGTTGGCAGTTTCACTCCCGGGAGATAGCGTACATTCTCGTGCTGTTCGTTAATGATAGAAGTCAACTTTTTTCCATTGATTTGTTCCTCAAACACCCACATAAGAACCTGATAAAAAGGCATGAAATAAATTAGTTTTTCGTGATTTTTCAAAACAACAAATAGATAGGCGAATTGATCACGGGCAACCAGGAGAATCAACAATTTTCTTAGACCCACACGGCTAGGATCAGTAGACAGGATTTTGCAACAGGGGGCGAAAACTGCACAGCAGACCTTTTTCGTTTGGAAGTCCAAAAGTTGTTAGAGCTAAGGAAGTATCCAAGCTTGCATGATATCCAATGTATGGTTGCCAATAGCCATCAGAGTCGTCGAACCTATTTGGGTTTATACTGTTCAGTTTGACTGCATCCTGTTCGGCGTCACCAACGAATTTGTATGCTTTCAACGAACAATCAGCGCAGTGTCGACAAAAAAATATCAGGCACTTTTGCGTATCCTGCTGTGCTGATCAAATCACTGAACCTGTGAAGACTCCTAGAAATAACGAGGAAGTGCGGTTTAAATCTTAGCTAAGATAGAAGCGCACCTGATTATAAGGAATACCTTGAAGTTTGAATGGTAGGTCAGTAGCTTTCTTTCGAACCCAGACTCGTCTGTAGACCGGATTATGCAGTAAAAAAGAGCTATGCCACGGTCGCGGCGCGAGAAAAATGGCACCAAGTACCGATAGTTAACCCTTTTTGGATTCCTAGCATTCATGTGTGACAGTCATTCCATAGATAAGATTAAAAACAAGAAGACACGACGGTGTATAAAACCTCACTTTTTCATTTCATCTCATTATCGTACAGGAACAGAAAACTCCATAACCAATGAGCTTTTGGTGTCTTTGCACCTGCACGCCGTGGTTTAATTATTATCAGCCGCGTCTCTTCCATTCCTACGAATGAGTTAGCTGTAAAGCTTTCAGAGTATCACTTCTGGTGAGAGATTTGTGGGGGATTCTCACAGATCCTGATCACCTATTGCGCGCAGAACTGACATGTTTTTGTTCCCATCATCCTACACGCTTCCCATCCCGCCGATTTCATCTCGAACTAAGGCTTACCAAAATGCATCTACACCGTACCTTGCTCCTATACTCACGAACAAAGAGAGCAATAAGTGAATTTTATCTCAACCTTGGATTATGAAATGTCCTCCTGACTATAAAAACTTTCTTCCCGTTCATTATGTAATCCGTGACGGTTGTCGTGTATGACTTTTTTAAGTGAAACGCAATCTCGTGCGTCGGTTTTAGTTGCTATCTTTCGGTGCCCCATTTGGATAAAAGAGCAGAATGAAGATTGGAATGTCGAAGCAAATTCAAGCGGAAGATGGAGAATTCATATGGTGTTAGGAGAATAATGAGTAGATGCACGAGCGTCACTGTTTACGACAGTCATATCACTATGTCTCTAATCATCGGTGACCATCATCTCGGGGTCCCCAGCCAGGAAGCCTACCAGGGTTAATGTGACCTAACCTCCTGGTTACGATCTACATACCCCGGTACCAGGTC